TCAAATACCTAACAGTGATTGGAGACAACTTAAAATAAAGCTTAATGGAATTAAAGCAACTAAATAGTTTTTTTTTTTATTGTAATCCATATTTTGGGATATGCTACCAGCACATGGTGTGCGGGTTGTCCTTGAACCCCAAGGAAAAGGGGCACACTCTCCACCAAGTCAACTTTACATTCAATTACTTTAATACCCACTTGGTCACAATCCAACAGTACTTGATTTGGTGTTTTTTTATTGTAATTAGTTATCGGGTAATATAAAAATTTTAATTTTAATTTTAATTTAAAATGTTTTAATTAATAAATATTTATTCAGTCAAGTATTTATTGATAAAAGCCACTAAATAGTTTATCAAAGATAGAAAAGCCAGTTGTAAATAGTAGGAATTTGAATCTTGAAATCCCAAAGAACTAGGAGACCGGTTGGTTGTTGCGCCTCACAAAAGTCGAAGTTTTTTACCCATTTCTTTTCTTCCTAAAACTTGACCCCTTGTTTTCAGACATTTTTTTACTTTATGGCCGAACTCTCCCTTCTCATCTTCCTGTTTTATTCATGAAGTCAGTTTCACATCCCCTAAAATTTGAATGCTAATAAATTTTCTTAACGCCAATATATGGCATCTGGGTCAAGATTTAAACAAGCTTTTTAAGAGAAATTTGACAGTTTTGATCTGAAGCAAAAGCCTTAAAAGTATTTTACTTAGATTTGAGTTTGGGGTTTGCATAAAATAGGGTCTTCGGAATGATATTTTGGGTACGATATTTTTGAAAAGAAACAGTTTAATTGGAACTTGTCGTACTAGACCCGATTCTAGTCAAGAAAGGTGAAAGTCCATAGAAGTACTCATTGTTTTTTGTTTCTATAAAGGAGGCATTTGAAATCGGCAGGGGAGTGGAGGTAAAAAATTCGCCAAATTCGAAGCAAATCAGAGTCGGCATAGCATCTACCATTACTTTCTGGGATGAAGATGATTTTGGTAGGAGGGCAGGGATAGGGGAATGGTTAATGAAAGAAAAACTCTGGAAAAAAAATGCAAAAAATAGGAGAGGTTTGATTCTGGACCTGCTGATAGAAGGGGTAGAATTGTCCCTACAACTAAAAATTTCTATATTTGTGTGGCCCCTCGGTGCGGCAATAATTGAGTAGATAAGCTCAGACTCAATATAGGAATTTAGAATAATGATG